TCCATTGTCTAACACAGACACATCTGTGGAACACACATTCCATTGTCTAACATAGACACAACCATGGAGCATACATTCCATTGTCTAACATAGACACAGCCATGGAACACAAATTCCATTGTCTAACACAGACACAACTATGGAACATACATTCCATTGTCTAACACAGACACAACCTTGGAACATACATGCCATTGTCTAACACAGACACAACCATGGAACATACATGCCATTGTCTAACACAGACACAACCATGGAACATACATTCAATTGTCTAACACAGACACAACCATGGAACACACATTCCATTGTCTAACACAGACACAACCATGGAACACAAATTCCATTGTCTAACACAGACACAACCATGGAACACACATTCCATTGTCTAACTACAGACACACAGCCATGGAACACAAATTCTAGTGTCTAACACAGACACAACCATGGAACATACATTTCATTGTCTAACACAGACACAACCATGGAACATACATCTCATTGTCTAACACAGACACAACCATGGGACAAACATTTCATTGTCTAACATAGACACAGCCATGGAACATACATGCCATTGTCTAACACAGAGACAACCTTGGAACATACATTCCATTGTCTAACACAGACACAACCATGGAACATACATTCCATTGTCTAACACAGACACAACCATGGAACATACATTCAATTGTCTAACATAGACACAACCATGGAACATACATTCCATTGTCTAACACAGACACAACCATGGAACATACATGCCATTGTCTAACACAGACACAACCATGGAACATACATTCCATTGTCTAACACAGACACAACCATGGAACATACATTCAATTGTCTAACACAGACACAACCATGGAACACACATTCCATTGTCTTACATAGACACAACCATGGAACATACATTCAATTGTCTAACACAGACACAACCTGGGAACATACATTCCATTGTCTAACACAGACATAACCTTGGAACATACATTCCATTGTCTAACACAGACACAACCATGGGACAAACATTCCATTGTAAAACACGGACACAACTATGGGACAAACATTCCAATGTCTGAAAGAGACACAACAATCGAACACACATTCCATTGTCTAACACAGACACAACCTTGGAACATACATTCCACTGTAAAACACAGACAGAACCATTGGACAAACATTCCATTGTCTAACACAGACACAGCCATGGAACATACATTCCATTGTCTAACATAGACACAACCATGGAACATACATGCCATTGTCTAACAGACACAACCATGGAACATACATGCCATTGTCTAACATAGACACAACCATGGAACATACATTCCATTGTCTAACACAGACACAACCATGGAACATACATTCCATTGTCTAACATAGACACAACAATGGAACATACATGCCATTGTCTAACACAGACACAACCTTGGAACATACATGCCATTGTCTAACATGGACAAAACCATGGAACATACATTCCTTTGTCTAACACAGACACAACAATGGAACATACATGCCATTGTCTAACACAGACACAACCATGGAACATACTTTCAATTGTCTAACATAGACACAGCCATGGAACATACATGCCATTGTCTAACACAGACACAACCATGGAACATACATGCCATTGTCTAACACAGACACAACCATGGAACATACATTCCTTTGTCTAACACAGACACAACCATGGAACATACATTCCATTGTCTAACATAGACACAACCATGGAGCATGCATGCCATTGTCTAACACAGACACAACCATGGAACATACATGCCATTGTCTAACAGAGACACAACCATGGAACATACATTCCATTGTCTAACAGAGACACAACCATGGAACATACATTTCATTGTCTAACACAGACACAACCATGGAACATACATGCCATTGTCTAACACAGACACAACCATGGAACATACATTCCATTGTCTAACATAGACACAACCATGGAACATACATTTCATTGTAAAACACAGACACAACCATGGAACATACATTCCATTGTCTAACAGAGACACAACCATGGAACATACATTTCATTGTCTAACACAGACACAACCATGGAACATACATTCCATTGTCTAACAGAGACACAACCATGGAACATACATGCCATTGTCTAACACAGACACAACCATGGAACATACATTCCATTGTCTAACATAGACACAACCATGGAACATACATTTCATTGTAAAACACAGACACAACCATGGAACACACATTCCATTGTCTAACACAGACTCAACCATTGATCATAGTTTCTGTTGTTTATTGGAGAGGTAATCATGGAATATATATTCCATTGTTCATCTTAAAGACAACCATTGAACATGCAATGTGGATGATTTCTTTATGGAAATATGGTATGACTGACCTTTGCCATTACAGACCACATGTGTTAAGCATTTGCTGTCCAACTATTTTAGGAAGTTAATTAACAGATATAAGACATCCCACACAATTGGTCTAAATTACCTACTCATATATATATATTGCATTTATGTCCGACAACATCCTGTAGCATGCGTACAGTGACAAGAGAGAGGTGCTCTTGTTGTATATGGGTTAATCTAGAAGAAGCATGTGTACATGTATGGCTATTAAGTTTCAAGTGGTTGAAGTGTGCATTTGCTTGTATTGAAGTAAGTTAGTTGGAAGGAAATTTGAGTGTAGATGAGATGTTGCTGTATGGGAGTGTTCCGCCGGTTGGATGATACTGTTGGCTGTAGGTGTGTTAGTGAGACCATCTTCCTGTGGGTAATATTCTTACAGATCATCTCATGTTGATTTAACTCAGCAAAGTTGAACAGATTGAAGGAATGTGAGTGGAATGGTTCCTCCATGAAAACTATTAAGGGATATTTGCTGGATGTTTTTGCAGCCTGGCTACACATTCACATGTGAAGCCAGGTGAATGTAGGGATATTTATAGGGACAAGCTAGTTTGATATGCTCACAGAATGCTTGTTTAGTAAACAAGAGAGCTCTTTACAACAGTTCACTTGGTCCTGTCCACAGCTGCCAGTGATTGAACATTTAAGCTACATACTAAATATTTCACACACATAGTGTTGGGAAATAATGTTATATCCATGTCTAAACTAAGTTCTTCTTTCTGACATAGTTAGTTCCTTTAACCCTAAGTACAAATCTTAATATTTTAACAAGTTTCTGTTTTCAGACCCTTTACACAAATAAGCACACTTTGTGGTGTCACGCTATGTCAACAAAGTTCCTTTGACTAGACAAGCTAGTTGATACAGTGAATGAGAACAAGATGGATCTTGTGGGCAATGGATCTGAGTTGTTGGTGTATGTTTTGGGGTTTGTGGGCAATGGATCTGAGTTGTTGGTGTATGTTTTGGGGTTTGTGGGTGGTGGATCTGAGTTGTTGGTGTATGTTTTGGGGTTTGTGGGTGGTGGAATCTGAGTTGTTGGTGTATGTTTTGGGGTTTGTGGGCAATGGATCTGAGTTGTTGGTGTATGTTTTGGGGTTTGTGGGTGGTGGATCTGAGTTGTTGGTGTATGTTTTGGGGTTTGTGGGTGATGAATCTGCGTTGTTGGTGTATGTTTTGGGGTTTGTGGGCAATGGATCTGAGTTGTTGGTGTATGTTTTGGGGTTTGTGGGTGGTGGATCTGAGTTGTTGGTGTATGTTTTGGGGTTTGTGGGTGGTGGATCTGAGTTGTTGGTGTATGTTTTGGGGTTTGTGGGTGGTGGATCTGAGTTGTTGGTGTATGTTTTGGGGTTTGTGGGTGGTGGATCTGAGTTGTTGGTGTATGTTTTGGGGTTTGTGGGTGGTGGAATCTGAGTTGTTGGTGTATGTTTTGGGGTTTGTGGGTGGTGGATCTGAGTTGTTTGTGTATGTTTTGGGGTTTGTGGGTGGTGGATCTGAGTTGTTGGTGTATGTTTTGGGGTTTGTGGGTGGTGGAATCTGAGTTGTTTGTGTATGTTTTGGGGTTTGTGGGTGGTGGAATCTGAGTTGTTTGTGTATGTTTTGGGGTTTGTGGGTGGTGGAATCTGAGTTGTTGGTGTATGTTTTGGGGTTTGTGGGTGGTGGAATCTGAATTGCTGGTGTATGTTTTGGGGTTTGTGGGTGGTGGAATCTGAGTTGTTGGTGTATGTTTTGGGGTTTGTGGGTGGTGGAATCTGAGTTGTTGGTGTATGTTTTTGGTGTATGTGGGTGGTGGAATCTGCGTTGTTGGTGTGTGTTTGGGGGTTTGTGGGTGGTGGAATCTAAATTGCTGGTGTATGTTTTGGGGTATGTGGGTAGTAGAATCTGAGTTGTTGGTGTATGTTTTGGGGTTTGTGGGTGGTGGAATCTGAATTGCTGGTGTATGTTTTGGGGTATGTGGGTAGTAGAATCTGAGTTGTTGGTGTATGTTTTGGGGTTTGTGGGTGGTGGATCTGAGTTGCTGGTGTATGTTTTGAGGTTTATGGGTGATGAATCTGAATTGCTGGTGTATGTTTTGGGGTTTGTTGGTGATGAATCTTAGTTGTTGGTGTATGTTTTGGGGTATGTGGGTGGTGGAATCTGAATTGTTGGTGTATTTTGGCGGTTTGTGGGTGGTGGAATCTGAATTGTTGGTGTATGTTTTGGGGTTTGTGGGTGATGAATCTGAGTTGTTGGTGTATGTTTTGGGGTTTGTGGGTGATTAATCTGAGTTGTTGGTGTATGTTTTGGGGTTTGTGGGTGATGAATCTGAGTTGTTGGTGCATGTTTTGGGGTATGTGGGTAGTAGAATCTTAGCTGTTGGTGTATGTTTTGGGGTATGTGGGTAGTAGAATCTGAGTTGTTGGTGCATGTTTTGGGGTTTGTGGGTGGTGGAATCTGAGTTGTTGGTGTATGTTTTGGGGTTTGTGGGTGATGAATCTGAGTTGTTGGTGTATGTTTTGGGTATGTGGGTGGTGGAATCTGAGCTGTTGGTGTATGTTTTGGGGTTTGTGGTGGTGGAATCTGAGTTGTTGGTGTATGTTTCAGCCTCTGTTGGAGGTAACAGGGACGTGGCTCTGTCTCTACTTATGAATGGTGCCGATATCAATGCCAAAGACAATGACGGCAAGACAGCCCTTATGATAGGCATCATCAATGGCCATCAAAATCTGGTGGAGCTCCTTCTACAGAGAAGAGCAGATATTACAGTAAAAAATGAGGTAATTTACCAATTGACCATACTGATTTGTTTGTCAATTAAGCAGCATTGAGGCAATATTTCAGCGTTTATAATAAGATTGATGTGCATTTACTCACTCACCTTATTAATTAGCAGGATCACTGTGCCCTAGTCACAAAACAACTGTATGAATAAATGAACTTGAATGAATGAGAACAAGATAAGCAAAGATATTGTGACAGTAATTGGTAAAGTGAGACTAAGGGCTGATGTCAGTCGTTGATCCTGTCAGACGTTACATCAGTACATAATCATTTGCTGCAGTTAACCAGAATGAGATAACAGTAACTAACTGGACCAAATGATGCAGGTCAGATGATATGGTCACAGGAGGGATGTATTTGGTGGCCCCAAGGGATTCACGTTCCTGGAATGGAACATGGAATAATGTTACAATGTTTTCCATTGGTGCTAGTCTTTCCAAACATGCAATAATTTTACAATGTTTTCCATCAAATTCCACGCTATTACTCTATTATGAATTTTACAAACTGGATGTTGAATATTAGAAACATCATCATCAACCTCAAGTTGATAGTGAGTGAATGTTGATTACAGTGAGTAATGATTCATCTGTTTCTTTTAGTATGGGAAAACGGCAGTGGAAATGGCACACTCCATGGAGAGACGGGTAAGTCTTGTTAAACCTTCATTTGCAGAGGTATTGGTAAATAATACAGCCAAGCAAATGTGTCAAGTGAAAAAATCGCTTTAAAAATCTATACTACTTACTAAAGTTAAGGGCCACCTAATTCTTTCATATCGGAAAAGCCCAGTGATTTTCAGGCTCCTGATATGATCACTCACCAGTAAACCCTGCGGCTTCATGAGAGACTGCCTGTCTGTATGGCACACATCTTAAGTGATGAGAACCCTTCCGATGACCTCCTAACATAATAGTCAAGTAATAGAGATACAACATTGAACATATAGACATCATGTAAACAGCATTGAGATAACCACTTCCAAGTACATAACTTTCCCTCAGAATATTGGCATTCTTTATTTCAACAAGTCATCTTTAATGAGTCACACACATAAACTCTTCAGCATAATCATGGCTTAGAAATGCTTGTCTCATAATAAAGTATTCATCAATCAATTAAACCTCATCCTTGTCTGGGGCAGATGTTACTTCAGCTCGTATATGGATCTAAGCCGCCATTTGTATTTAATTGTATTTTGTGTTTCCTGCTTTTGATACTACTGAAAGTGTGCTAAAGATCACCTATTTGAAAGGTAATAGATACCATTATGTGTATATGTTTAAACATTCAAAGAAAATGTTGCATGGAGTCATGTTTAATAATAAGTCAGTTGCCATGTGCCACACAATGCCAGCAAACACCATGCCACACAATGTCAGCAAACACCATGCCACACAATGCCAACAAACACCATGCCACACAATGCCAACAAACACCATGCCACACAATGCCAACAAACACCATGCCACACAATGCCAACAAACACCATGCCACACAATGCCAGCAAACACCATGCAACACAATGCCAACAAACACCATGCCACACAATGTCAGCAAACACCATGCCACACAATGCCAACAAACACTATGCCACACAATGCAACAAACACCATACCACACAATGTCAGCAAACACCATGCCACACAATGTCAACAAACACCATGCCACAAATGCAACACAATGTCAAAACACACATGCCAACAATAATGCCAACAAACACCATGCAACATGATGCCAACAAACACCATGCCACAATGCCAGCAATCACCATGCTACACAATGCCAACAAACACTATGCCACACAATGCAACAAACACCACACCACACAATGTCAGCAAACACCATGCCACACAATGCCAGCAAACACCATGCCACACGATGCCAGCAAGCCAACAAACACCATGCCACACAATGCCAACAAACACTATGCCACACAATGCCAGCAAACACCATGCCACACAATGCCAACAAACACCATGCCACACAATGCAACAACAACACCAAACCACACAATGTCAGCAAACACCATGCCACACAATGCCAACAAACACCATGCAACATGATGCCAACAAACACCATGCCACACAATGCCAGCAATCACCATGCTACACAATGCCAACAAACACTATGCCACACAATGCAACAAACACCACACCACACAATGTCAGCAAACACCATGCCACACAATGCCAGCAAACACCATGCCACACGATGCCAGCAAACACCATGCCACACAATGCCAGCAAACACATGCCACACAATGTCAGCAAACACCATGCCACACAATGTCAGCAAACACCATGCCACACAATGCCAGCAAACACCATGCCACACAATGCCAACAAACACCATGCCACATAATGCCAGCAAACACCATACCACACAATGCCAGCAAACACCATGCCACACAATGCCAACAAACACCATGCCACACAATGCCAACAAACACCATGCCACACAATGCCAACAAACACCATGCCACACAATGCCAACAAACACCATGCCACACAATGCCAACAAACACCATGCCACACAATGCCAGCAAACACCATGCCACACAATGCCAGCAAACACCATGCCACACAATGCTACAATAAGTATCTGGTTGGTTGCCCAGGGAACAGTGTTCAGTAAGAGCATTGCTGAGTCCCTGTAGAGGTGCCAGAAGGATGGTGTAACTCAGGGCAGCTTGTACGTTCTAGACTTGTTCAATACGGTTAAGGTCTGGTGACTTGGCTGGTTACACAATTGGAGACTAATGTTTTCTGCTTTTTGTAGGCATCAACAGCCCTGGCACATTGAACTCTTGCATTATTGCCCATGGGGATGAAACTCTGTTCAATTGTGACTGCATATTTTCTCTTGCACATATCCAGAATGTCATTCCTGCTATCTTGCTGTGGGATATGGAGATTGGTTCTTCCAGCTCTACTGATCCATGCTAAATCATGATTGACTTCCCCCTTAGTAGTCATGTTCAGCTACGTTGGAAAAATATTTCTCATTGTCCTTGCCACACTTGGGCACAAACATGTGTGAAGTATTGACAATATCTCCATCTATCAGTGAATGAAAAGTTCTGGATCCAGCTCTGTGACTGTGATGTCTGGTCAAATACCTGGCCATCTAGATTGAAGACCAGCCTTGTGGAGACACACTGTCCAACCTTTAGAAGGTCATGTCTGGGAGCAGTCAGATGACATGGCAATCAGAAGAAACCTGTCTTCCTACTGTGTAATGGAACATTGTCAGCTGGTAGCTGACCTCACTGTCCGTCATATACATACAAAATACACAGGATTGCAAGTACCTTGTGACCATGGCTGCATGCCTCTGTTTGTTCCTCATGAAACACAGATCTCACAGAGGTTTCCTGATCACTGTGTACTGGGCTATATCTATGTCTGGTTGTTGGATGCATCATGTTGTTTATATCATCAGATCCTGGAATGGTATATGTACTTGCTGCCAACTGTCACCTGTTTCACATGGTGTTTCTTGTTGTGGAAGTTGTTTGTAGCCAACAAAGGGAGATGACAAACTTCCGAGCATGGATGATGCACATATGCATCTGCACAGTTATTTATGTGTTGGCCACTCATTAGTGGGTAGGGTTCACCCAAATGTCACCAGCATTTCACAGGTTATTAGGATTACCAGAACTTATGTCAGGATGTTTGCCATAGAATGTGTTTGGAATTATTTTTATAGAGTTGTCAGACAATTTTTTATTGGCCTGTGAAAATCTGACTTCCAACATGTCCTTGTATGTTATTTTTATCATGTTGCATGTGTACTTAGAAATCTTCATTTGTGTGTGTTTTGGTTTCAGAGAATTGTGAAGACTTTGGAAGAACATCTGGAGAAATATGGCGTCAAAGCTTAACAAGTTGTCAGGGCAGTAGCAGCATCCTGTGTTGATCCTGCAGCTGATATTACAACTGTATTGAAGGCTTTGTGTAATATGTTAATCATCAAGCAGAGAGAACTATATTGATGTGAAATGTTCTAGTGTGTCATCATGCTTGTAATCTGCCCCTCAAATTTACCATGTGTTTACCCCAGCATATGTTATTTATTGCGTTGTAGATATTGCAGGCTGTTTCACCATATGTTGGTTTATGTGTTCTCTGATACACTAAAGCATCCATAATGCGGAGACTGCTTTGTGTTTTCATTGTTAATAGTTAAGTCTCTGAAGTCCTTTTCTGAAGTTTCTCCCAGTCCTTTACTGCTGAGTGTTTTCCACATGGGAATGTTCCTGTTTGGGTTGTTGTTATAGTTGAGAGGATGAGGCGAGGTTTACATGGTGTGTGTCTCAAAGGCAATAGGTGGATTTTCCATTTGTTTATAAACAACATAATTGATAGTTGATCTATCTCACAGTGATAAGTCCACCATCATCAAGGATCAAACATTGTCAAACAATTCACTTTTCAAACTTCTTTGAGACTTTGAGAAATCTGAGGGTTACATAGATTTTTCATAATGTTCCCAATTTTAGATCAATTATTTCCTGTTATGTCCTATTTCTACTGGTTGCCACTATCATCACTGATGGAAAGTCATCAGAAGTCATCACAAACAAATGTCATACCTTTTACATTGATGATATTCAACAGTTTATACCTACTATTTCTCAGTGATGAGAAACGACTAATACTGACCATCATGTTTAGATGACCTGGGCTAAACTAAAACCCCAGTGGTCAGTCCAGCACCAGATGAGTCTTGCACGTATAGATCGTATCAGAGCCTGACAGTTTTATGGTGAAACCACATGTAATATTACTTATTGGCATGACATGAATAACTTGCTTGACAATGGTAATACCAACCTGCTGGCAGTAAACATAATTGCTAGAGTATGAGTGTCATGAAGATGATAGATATGCTAGATATTTGTGCATGGAGGCCAAGTAATAGTCCATTATGCCATTATATTTCTGTCATTCAGTCCTTGTTCTCATTGAGAACACAAGGAGGAGACATCTGTGCTGCTGAAGCGGGGAGGACCTTTACTCCTGATACAGATGACTGATGTGGACAGCATGTATATTGTGTTCTCTTTGTTACAGGTTCAAATCAAAGACTGAAGAATAATATAATTTTTTTCAGTTTAAAATGTTTGGTGAGAATTTTAGGGCATATATCATCTGTTTAAGATGCTCAAAATATTTCCTATTCACCATGTATTTTCAAGGTAACACATTATCTTGTGTGTACATTGTGTATTGTTTATTTCCTCAGCCAAAATTGAACCTGAAACCCATGACTGAATCTTTTTGTCGGAGACACAGGATCAGTTTGTCCAAGAACTGATACAATGGTGTTTCTATGATGTTTCATCAACATTGATGGTATCGTCAGTAGGCATCATAGCACCTGGAGAAAAGTAAACAGGTATTGGACTTGATAAACAGAATGCCTCCATGTGACATTTGTTCTGAGCACAGTGCTAGAATAGGACTTTATTTGTTTTGCCTCTTCATATCAAGCCATAGAGCAGAGTTAGCCATGTTGTGTAGGATGTTAGAATTCATTGTATAGACTTAATGAAACATTCCTAAGTCCAGTCAGCAAGCGTCTGCAGGATGAAATATTTTCCTATCAGTTCTTGAAGAAAACGTGTGCTTTATGAATATCTGACCAGCTACTACCGTGCACTGTTAGGCGTGGTGACCAGAGACATTTACTACAGTTACATTTAAGATCAGGGACTGTATGTTTCTGTTGGCAACACCCACTTCTCTGACATTCATATCTTGGCATTCCAACACACATACTTGAAGCATACAGTTGTGTATGTTCTGAAGCTGTTGACATTTATGCCAGGATATACCAGTGGTCCTTGTGAGTCCAGGTATCCTTAACTCATTTTACTTGGAGTGAGGTTTGTCTGTCTGTGGTCCACACACTGCCAGGCTAACATAGACTGAGACAATTCAAGTTTTAATCAGGAAACCTGGACAGTATATTTACTGATCAATACCAATCACTTATGAGAGGTCGGTCTCACCAGATGTACAATATTCAGGCTGACAGCAGTGTGACTGCTAGCTCCTCATGTCAACCCGTTACATTCAGGCTGAGGGAGTTCTGTGTCTGTAGATTCAGATTGTTTTTTCTGAGGTAGAAGACAGTGGAGCAGTTTACACATTACTCAAGATATCTTTCATCTTGATGTTGATGATGCTGAATATGATGACCAAATAATGCCTGCTTTAAGAAAGAAGTTTGTTCATTACAGGGTGATTAATCTTTGATAATTAGTGTAACTTTGAAGCAAGTAATCTTGCTTTATTGTTGAGGTGGCGAGTACACTGGTCAAACAGTTATCTCAGCTTGATAATATTGGAGAAACACACCAGTTCATTCTGTTAGCTGATGTACATTTGTCACCTAACCAGGATTTTGATAACATATTGAATTGGTGGTCAACAATTACTCTTGCTAGAAAGACATTTATTCAGAAATGATGGTCATAGGATCTCATTTGGTGGAACCTCAATCATTTTAAGATGACAGCTGTAAACTGTCAGTCCATAATGATCACTTTGTGAGGAGGGAAATTGAAGAACTGATATGTCAAGAGGCCATCACAGGTTGATGAGAAACTGTTATTGATCGTCACTATAGCTTGAACAGACATTCTGACTCTGGCTAACAGTTCCATGTGTTGGCTGTCCAGCAGAGCTCCACTACTGGAGGCACTATGTACCTGGTCTGAGTAACCCAACTCTGAAACTCAACATGTTACCTGCGCAAAACTGCTTTTTGTCCATCATTAAAAAACTGCTACATCAGTATCTTGGAGGTAAGAAACAAGGATTACTATCATTGCTGTGTAGGATTCACAGGTATATTACCTGGATATTGCAGTGGTAGCCGTATTAAACTGACACAGAAGCGATATCATGAGGTTGTTGTGTGGTGGTTTGTGGGTGGATTTTGGAAGAACGTTTTGTTGTAACACACAAGAGTTGACAGTGCATGTACACCGTTGAACGTCTTAGACAACTGATGAACTATGTGGATTTATGGATTATCTTTGTAATGTATGATGTACTGATAACTTATGAGCTTTGGCAAAAAAACTTACAAATTCATTCTGGTAATCAGTAATTCCAAGTTGTGAAGTGATTAATCTGTGTTATAGCCCAGGACATCACTTTTCACTAATATCACTGACTGACTGACTGACTGAGTATGGTTTTATGCCGTTTTTAGCAGTAATCCAGCAATATCACGGCTGGGGACACCATACATGGGCTTCACAAATTGTACCCATGTGGGGAATTGAACCCGGGCCTTCAGCGTGACGAGCGAACGCTGTAACCACTAGGCTACCCCACCGCCCGTTCGCTAATATCAGATGACTTGAAAGTATCTATGATTTCATAAACTATGAAGACCATCTCATGTTCTCTATGTCACATCTTATCTTTCCAACTAAACATACAGTGTTAAGAATAGTTTACATGCACTCCTCCACAGTGTATTGCCATTGTTGATGATATTCAGTTTTATGCCTGTAAACTTTAGTTTTCATGAGGTCGGTGGGGTAGCCAATTGGTTAGAGCGTCATGCCGAAGACCCCGGGTTTGATTCCCCACATGGGTACAATTGTGTGAAGCCCATTTCTGGTGTCCCCCATCGTGATATTGTTAAAAGCGGTGTAAAACCATATTCAGTCAGTCAGTTTTCATGATCTAGACCTTCTCTAAACTCTTATCCTATTGTGTGTGGTATTGTAATGTGGCAGCATTGAGGTATGTGTTGTTACATGTGTCTTGTATCTGTAAAGTTTGTCTGAAAGACTACATGTTAACTACTAAGTACACGCAAGACAACTTGTAACTCCACATTGCCAGTCTCTAACACAGGAAGTGATCATCTTGTTCATTGGTCTGCAGTATCCTGTTTACAAGGTCATGACCCTGTGGAAGGTTCAGTGGTTCTAGCACAGTAACTCAAACCGTACACAAGGCTGGTAGAGGGGGGTTCAGTATATACAACAACATTTGATGGGGCCATGTAGGGACCAAGTCTCACGGAAAGGTTGCAATTAGTGGTTGTGTTATGTGAAGAAGATCTTAAGTTGTAACACAAAGTTTACCTGTAACAATCAAAGTTACAATATCTTGCATATGCAGTATGTGCGCAGTATCAACAAAATACATGGTTTTCTTACATCAGAATTAGTGTTGTTTCTCTAATTTCAGCATACGTTTCATTTTTTGTCTTGCTCTGTGTACTATTGGATGTATGAGTGTCAACAAGTAAGCCAGTAGGAAATAGACATTCTCTTCAGTGATTTCTATCAACTATCCTCACCACAGTGTCAACATATCTGATAGGATTCCACAATATGTAAAAACCTACTGTATTTGAGTCTTTTACGGCTTGTTGTTGGTTATCAGCTGGTGGACCTATTTTTGTGATTGTTCTGTTTATCATATATATAAAAGGATTCATGTGTTCTGAGTCTCACACAGAGAAGCACACATAGATGATATCATTCTGCAAGTCAAGATGGATTCTGGCTAGAGGTGTCTTCATGTTTGGGGACAGATGGAAGTCTGATGAAGCAAGGTCTGGAGAATAGGAAAGCATTTGTAGCCATGGCAGTCACTGATTTGTGCACACATGCGTTGAAAGCACACATTTTCTCACCTCCCCATATCTCTGAGTCATCACATAATTACCTCAAAAGTGCAGCATGATATGCTCTATATATTATGAGATCTTTTGGGATATAATCCACCATGATGAAATCTTCAGCAATTCCAGAACTCCCGAGGTCAGAACCTCTCCAGCTTATAGGGCAATCTTTGCCTTCTTTGGTGGTTTGATGCCAGCAACTTTAACTGTTTTGATTGATGTTTCTGGATTAGCTTCAAATGGAGCTATTCATTCATGAGACATGTGGTGCATAGTTCATTTGGATTTAATGGCAGGTGGTTTGGGATACGAAGAGGTGATACTTTTTTCCTTGCCAAAGTCTTGTTGATGATGGTGTGCACTCCTAGGCAAATGGCCACTGAACTAGTAATATGACAGTCAGTTATTCACAGGTCTGTCAGCAGCATATTGTGGATTCTCTAGATCATCTCAGTGACACGTCTTTCAGTTGCTGGACTGGGGTCATCTTCTGAT